TTCGACTTCAGAATACCCGGGCATGAGTTGGATTTCAGGCCATTGAATGTGGGGACAATTGAACTCACCCATGAGTAGAAAACATGGACGACTCATGTTGTTCAGAAGATGCGGTAGCCAATCTAAAGAACGGTTCAGTGGGCTACGGTAGAATGCACCTACTGTCAGCTTGCCGCGCCTGAGGTTGATCGAGCACCATACCTGTTCACACAGTCCATCTCCACTTCGGTACACGCTTACAAGCCTCCCACGCAGGGAAGACCGTATATAAAGTAAGACACCACCACAAGGATCTGATATTCTATCGCAGCGAAAGCATGAGTAGCCACTGAGATCGACTTCCTCTGCCATTACCTCAGAAGTTAGCCATGTCTTCGCCAGTCCTACGACGTCTGGTCGCTCAGAGGCAAAGAAGCGACACAGCTCATCCCGTTTGTTCATAAGGCTACAGATGTTTGTGAATGCAGCACGGAGGTTCTGAGAGGCACCGTGGGACGTGCCTGGAGGTTGATCAACCGACTGATACGGGTTCGTGCACCCTTCTTGATCACTCGAAAATTTACGATGTGTAGATCAGTTTCGTCTTCTTCTGTACGGCGTTTAAGCTCAAGGACCACAGTCTTCAAGCGGTTCCTCTCTTCGGGTTCCAAGTCTCGGCGGATGTGAACCCTGGTGCCTTTAAGCCTGGAGAGACGAGACAGAATGAGTTGTGGCGTGTTGTGGTCAGCAAAGGGGATTCTTAAAGGTCGACATGATTGGTTAGTGTGCTGACCAAGTCGGACTACTTGTTTAATCGTTACGCTGCCTTCACCCACATCCAACAGTTTATCAACGAGCCCCTGAAGGAACTCAACATCGTGATCATAACGTTTCTGAGGGTTTTCATCTTTCGACTCTGGTGCATGGAACACCATGAGATTATAACGCCTCAGTGAGATCGGTGACGAACTTGAGGCAGCAGGAGTGGAGGGGCTTGTCGTTTTGGACGGTCGTCTATCGGTAGGGGGAGGCTGAATGTTGTTGCGTGAACTTTTGCGTTTTTGAATGATCCATTTATCTTCAGTGTTCAGAGGTTCACAGGTATGCGCTGAAAGATTAGGGGGCTCCGACTCTGAGTCGTCAATCTGTGGGGAACATTGGTTGTGAGAATCGGTAGGGGTAGAAGACGCTGGCGGTGGTGCAGGTCGTGGAGTTGCAGGGGAAGGGGAGTTCACAGAGGTACTCTCACGAGCGCGTTTGACCCCACGAACTGAATGAGGTGGTTTCGTCTGGGAAATAGCTCTTCACGGAGCCGGTGGTGGTCTCCGTGCATTTTGTTGTAGTAAACCGCGGCATTCATCACACACAACTTGGAAAAATCTATGTCGGATGTCAACAGATTTCCCGAAAACTTCCACGGATAGGCCGATACACGAAATATGAAACAGAACACAGCCGAAACAACGAAGTGCATGAGCCTTTTGTCCGACAACTTTCGAACATGAGCCACAAGTAGATTGGCATCTTTAATGGTGTTCCGAATACCAAGCAAAATAATCGGTAGACATTCTGACCATTGTGAGTTCGACTGCGAAGCAGTAATTACGGATTCATGTTGGCGATGGAAACGTTCAACGATGCCATTAGCAGCGGTTGTCCGTAGGTGGGTACAACCGTGCAAGCGGTTCAAGTCACGAAACAAGGCTGAATTGAATTGGGGCCCATGATTGGTAGTAATAGTGGCTGGCGTGCCAAAGTCGGAAATCCAATTTTACTGAATGTTCGCGCCACAGTTTCTGTAGAACTATCACGTAAAGGCGCAGCACGTGGCCAACGTGTATAACAATCAACACATGCCAATAAGTAGACAAAACTGTTGGATGGATACAAGGGTCCAAAGGTGTTACCATAAACATGTTTGAAACGTGCGTCAGGAAAAGCAAGCGTACCGGGGACGATAATCTTGTGACGGTGGATCTTGCTGATATGGCAAGTGATACAGTGTTTGGCCCACTGCTGGATCTCGGAGCATAAGTTGTGTCAAATGTGCGATCAGTAATCAACTTGACAGTGGCTCGGGTGTGAGATTCCATGTTGGTGGTCAAATAGGATTCGGCGGTATTGCTGAGAGACAAAAGGCCGGGGCTTGTGGTAGAAATATCACAGTAAATTTTGGAGTCTGAGTTAAGGATTGGCAGCTGTGATATTTTCATCGATGGATTTGATCTCAGCAGCACACACTCAGGATCTCCTTCCTGCTGAGTTGGTATGTCTTCTAAGTTCATCTGCCGTGAAACTTCGTGACGACACATAAGCGACATGGCATCGGCGACAACGTTAATGGGAGCAACAACATGGCGAATGTCGGTCGGAAACTGTGAGATATAATCCAAATGACGGATTTCTCTGGGGGGGGGGGAAACGGTCGGATGAACCACGGAAAGCAAAGGCAAGTGGTTTATGGTCTGTGAGAATGGTAAACGAGCGACGTTCAAGCAGGTGCCGAAAATGTGATAGCTAGGTAGGTAGCTAAAACTTCTCGAACAAAGGTGCTGTATCGCGTCTGTGCTGGCTGAAGTTTGCGAGAGAAAAAGGATAACGGCTCAGGTTGACCGTTGATTACCCGCTGGAGAACAGCCCCAACGGCGGTCTGAGATGCAGCAGGCTTGAGGATGTGAGTGGCGTCAACATCAGTCCTCAAATGACTGAGCGCGGTAGCGTTGGACAACGCGTGCTTGACTTTGTCATATGCATCAATAGCTTCTTGAGTGGGCTGTAATTTTCGTGACCTGCCTAAGTAAATCGGTCAATGGCTAGAGTAGCCCAGAGCAATCTGGTATGAAACGGCTGTAGTAAGTTACCATGCCGAGAAAACGACGGAGATTTTTGAAGGATGGCGGCATGGGTAGTCTGCCATCGCTTGTGTTTTCTCGGGGTGTGGCTAATGCCGTTGCAATCGATTCAGTGGCCCAAAAATCTGCAGAACGTTTGGTCAAAAACATTGGTCAACATTGTTCGTAACGTCGTACTGAGCAAGGCGTTCGAAGATCGATCGGAGATGTGACATGCTCATCATGATTGGAACTGGTCGCAAGAATATCGTCAGTGTAGGCGTAGACGAAGTCGAGCCCTCTGAGGACTTGATCGATAAACCTTTGGAAAGTCTGTGCGGAATTTCGTAGACCAGATGGCATGCGAACGAATTCATAAAGAACAAATGATGCGGTTATAGCGATCTTCAGAATATCCTCGGGAGCAATCGGAATTCGGTAGTATGCACGCACCAGGTTCTTCCATGTAGACCTGTTGAAAAATCATGCATCTGTGGAATTGTATATCTATCGGGAACGGTGGCATTGTTTTGTACCCAGTAATCTCCGCAAGGTCTCCAGTCACCTCTGGACTTTTTGGAAACCATATGAAGGGGGGAGGACCGTGGGCTAGGTCGAAGTGGTAAACGGTGGTCACGCTATATAGACTTTCCGAAAACTTTTGACACTGGACTCACTAAATTTTAGGTCTTATGGGATATTTGGTCGCGCTTTTAAATGGTTGTCTGTTTTCCTGGATGAGAGGGAACAGGATGTATGCCTGGAGCATAGCCTTTTGATTAAGCAACATCTTAGTGGCATTCCTCTCGGCTCGGCACTAGGGCCATTGCTGTTCGCGATTTATGTAAATGACATGCCTGGCCGGCTTAGAGTGTCGTCACAAATCTGTGCTTGTGAGCTTAAGCTCTGGGACATAGTGGTTGTCCCTGTGTGTTCTGAGGCAATTCAGAGTACCTTGGAAAGGCTGTGGGTATGGTCTGGCTTGTGGTTGATGCCCATAATTCGAGCCAAGTGTTCTTTTCTCCGAATTGGAGATGCTAGTCCTCCCACACGGTATATTATCGACGGTGGTGAAATAGCTGTTGTCACTCAGCAGTTTGATCTAGGTGTCGTCCATCCATCAGCCCCACACTCTGGCGTCAAGTGGAAGAAGGGTGCTTGTAGGTAGTTCTGTATGATGTGGTTTATTCACCGCTCCTTCGGAGTTCTAACCACATATGTTTATGAAGTTATTCTCGGCATTAGAGAGGGTTTTACGAGTAGGTACTAGTTTATTACAGGATCTACTGGAACGGACGTATTCCGAACGCTTGCTTAGTTTGGGCATGTACTCAGTGCACAACCGGCGAATTAGAGGGGACTTGATTCCCACCTACCGTATTTCGACGGGAAAGATCGGTCAGGACTTGTCTCTGCGGTCATCCGTTGGGACTACACAAACCGCGCTCTGATCGGATAAGGGCGGAAACGCGTTTGTCGCACCGTTATACAGCGCTGAAACTCGCTTCCAGATCAGGTGATTAAGGAACCTACGATTGGAGGTTTCGCACGTCAGCTCGATGCTCTTGGGTGGTAACACCAAACCTTTCTTTTCTTCTAACTGACTCGTCTTCAGCTTTCCTTTTAATTCCCCACGTATCTTAGTATTATAATTCTTTAGCCTTCTGATTAAAGTGTTTCCTCTTATTTCACGCAACCGGCCCAGCAGGGACTGTCAGTGCAGGATACGTGCGCAGTAATTGCTTGGTCAATATGTGACCTGGTCTTTGTTTTGGGCCCATTTACATTTCTAGGCCCTTCGTCAACTGTTTCAACTACCTGCTGACGGAGGGACACTCACGAGATACTCCTATCTTTCCAATCCCGCTGGAACTTGTACTTTTCTCTTCCCTTTACCTCCCTTTTTCTTTCAGTCATCACCCTTGCGTGTTCTCACCATTCAAACAGCTTAGACTCGATCCCCTCATCTGCTGTGCTACCGGCATCCAGCTCGCCACAGTGTTTGCCAGTCGCACATCACATTCATTGTGATCTCTTACTAGGCCACCTACGAGGTATTTATTTTGCATTGCAGCCTCCAGGTCTGTTACGACCTACGTACACAGTGGACACGGAAATCCTCTGAATCCTCGGCCGGACGCATACTATAATACACATCGTACACTTACTGAAGATCATACTATTTTCTTCATGGCCGTTGTCGACCCCGCCGCAACTAGGGCGTTGGTTTTGTTCAGTTTGTCAATGATTGCTCTACCTTTGGTGTCTCTTTTCGCGTCCCACCATGTCTTCTCGAGTTAGTTGTTTTTCTGATATTACATGCATTTCTGTTTTAGGAGTATTCGACATCTCAAATTCTTCTTCCTATATTTACGGAGCTATTGTGGCTGTTGTGACTGTTCATATTGTCCTCCTATGTTTTGTTCTTCACGCATTCTCTGATAGTAAAAAGGATACTCAAACGAAATCAGACTGAGGGTGAATTCCTGCCTTGTGGAACACTGACGACTTCAGCTATGGTGTACTACGATTTTCATCCATCTGCGTGGTGTAGCAACACCACCTTCCACGTTCCGATAAAGCGCTTCTTAATTTCCATACTTCTTTTGGTGTACTTGCCTTCATAATGCCTCATTTTTCTTGTATATAACTGACTCAATCCGACTTTCCTTTTTCGATCCGTAATCATTGGTTGGGAATGCATTAAGTTCCTCATGTCCCTATATGCACAAGATGGCGGCTACTCTTTGGTTTCCGCACGCATGCATTTTATTTTTAGAGATTATCGCAGACCGGTCTTCACGCGCACGGCAGGTTTACGACCAACAAGTGTCACATTTCAGTTGCCATCAAGATGACCAAGGCCTTCTGGACTTAGACCCTTATGGTTTCTTGGCATCGTCATCATCAACAACAAATCAGCTACTTAAACTGTTGCTTCGCTGGCGTACAACCACAATGATTTAAGGAATTAAAAATAATAAAAGAAAGGATGACCTGGTTTGAAACCTAAATACTACAAACAAACATTTAGGGCCAAGGTGCCCACACCTTGTATCAACAACGTGCCACCATAAACAGCTGGCTATCATGCAAAGGTAAGGCAGCATCGGCAAGGTGGTTTCTTTGTAGCTTTCACTGCCTGCGTCATAATTACACAAAGCAGCATCATACACTTTAGACAGACAACCCGACTAGTCGACAACAAACGCGCTACTGATACCTTCTGCGAGCCATGTCCTGTAGCTTCTTGAACCTAGCACAGGGCTGATCACTTGGACTTCATTCTAGAACGCGAACTAGGCCAACAGCACCCAGTTAGGTCGTAATTATATTTATCTACCTTCGGCATGTGCTTTGCATCTTAAAAGTGCAGGTTATTATTGCGAGGCTGGATCGACACAACCCTGCTTCTGGCTATCTACTAACAGCCTCTAGAAGTCGTGGATTTATTTACTGACCTTCCTAGCTGTGTCACCTCTGGTGGCTGCATCACCTAGGAAATTAAGTTACGTATTAATAAGACCCGTGTGGCTTTCCAGTGGCTTAGCCATCTATGGAAACAGCGGGATATCAGTCTATCATTGAAAGATAGTTTGAATACCGTGGCTGTAAGACCGCTGTTCTAATTGGATCTAATACCGGGCTAGTTCGCAGTTACGACAGTAAACACTCGGCCGTGTTTGATCACCGGTGCTCGCTGGGTATCGCTCACGTCGAGCGTGAACTTCGTGGGAACAACGCTGAGGTCCGCTACTTGGTTTTTGGCGAGAAACATTCTGGTGTCTCACCCAAGTGTTTGCTTAAGCTCAACCGCTTTCATTGGCTATTCATGTCCTCTGTGTGATTATTGATCACTCACTTCGATGTGCATTATACCCCTTCACTCCACCATGTTGTGCGAAATCGCGAGGTGACAAGTCGATGACGTGGTATAAAAGCATGTAGAAAATGTCTGAGAGACTTGGCCAATTTGTTGTGCGGATGGGGGCTAACCACGAGGTAAACCGGTGTGGTATCGAATCTTTAAGGAACCGAACGGTATAGGCGTTGCTGTTGCTTTCCAGTGATGCGAAACAACCGTCTGCGATTTTTCAAACGCTGATTTTATAACCGTGTGAATTGTTTGAAGGCATTCGAATTCCCCCTGCTGCCTACTCTATCTCGATGTCCGACGGTTCAGCATGTTTGCTGCAGTTTGAAAAGCATTCAGTTAGTATTAGGAATTTGCCTCGGATATTATCTTAAATACCATATTTTCAGAATACATCCATCTAAATTCTGCCTAAATTACCTTTTAATAGGGTCAGAGATATCTCCCTCCAGCTACATATTTTGTTTTTTATGAAAAGATTTGCATTGTCGTCCACGCCTACGAGCACAGACCCTACCTCAACTTTGTTCCCTTCTGTATAAGAGTTTCTTTCGTGATTATGGTTGCTAACATTGTCACTCTTGCTCTTACTCATTTAGTTTATCTCAAAAGTTGGATTCAACCTAGTGGCTTCATTTTGCAGTCTATACTGTTAATTTGATCACTGCTTGTCATCTTTTCTCTGCAGCTGTTCGCACTAGATCGTCATGTGTTGCCTGTTATAATGAGTACAAACTGCCGCAGTTGTCCAAGCCAAACGGTTTTACTTAGCACAATGGTAAACCTTAGTCCTATTTAAAAGTTCCAAGTATCAGTCTTTTCTCGTTTATTTGTCTTGGCCGATCCATGGCATTAAGGATCATATGCCTGCTTTGTAATATGAGGTCGCGGGTTCGAGCCTGCGTAAGGGACCGGGCGACCCTCGCAGTACTCTTAGCCAACGCGCGACTGGTGGTGGTTGCGCGGCAACGAAGCGTCTGTACTGCGTACCGGCGTACTGCTGATGCCTTTATTTCATTTGCTCTTGGTCAGCGTTTTTCAGAGGCATACCTTCATTCATTTTGGGAAATATCTCCATAGCAAAGAGCTAGCACCTTGTTATATCGAGATGTTGACTTTTCTCCTCTCTGTCATACTGTACTGTTTGGTTGCTTTGGTCGCACCGAGAACTTATTCTACCAGATTGGGCAAGGGTTATAAGTTGCAAATTCAGCTTCCTGGTCCTTGAAGTTGTAAGCAGGAGCTGCGCAGTATCCGTTTCTGTGAGATAGTTCGTTTTTGAGATTACTGCTTAGTTCCCACTGACCCGCAACAAGATTTGTGGTAATAACTCATTTGTAGCTCAGATCGTTATACTACCTATCTTTAGGCGCGCTGGTAGTGTCCAGACTGCTGCTGCACTATGCCTTTGGCATGGAACTCCGATTTCGTTTCACATCATCTGTTGTGCAGCTTCAAAGGTTTGCTTTACGGTAGCGTACAACGGAATAGATTTTCGAAACAGACCACTGCGCATGATCCCTTGTTTTTTGTCTTGCTCCTCTTATACTCCTTCAAATACCCACTGTTCTTCTTCCCATAGTCCGCAATGTTAGCTACCACATATGCAGTCCTGTGAGCTTTTGCTATCTTTGAATGTGTCACCACATTAGTCTGCTGCCATTAACTGTCTTTCAAGAAGCCACGCCGCCCTGTTCTTATGTTGGCATCCAGCGTCTGTTACAGCTGTGTGCGGAGCACAGGCTGTTTCTTAGTAGCACTGCTTTTAGACACAGTAGGCGCCAAATTGTCATTTGGCGTTCACCTATTGCTGGCCAACAATGGACCCAAATTGGTCACCTTTCCTGCAGTCACAAGTAACGTCGTTCCGTACTGAACTGTCCCTCGTTCTGGAGTATTTTCGTCGATTCTGATCATGCCTTGATCATCTTTCTATGAACTGGTAGGCATAGTTAGCGCCTCCTTCGATTGCCAACTGAACGCTTATCTCACTCCTTGGTCAGGCAAACCTACCAGGATGCCTTGTGTACCGAACTCTTGTCCTAATGAAACTGAGCTTTAATGGAATGGGATATAGGCCGTTATGCACGAAGCAGGAGCATCTGATTGTGGCACTATCAGTCGTCACCGCACCAGTCACTAGATATCCGACAGCCCTGTGAATCTATTGGAATCCAGAAGTACTCCCGGCGGGCTCTGAGTACAATGTAATCATCGCAACGAGACTGGACCTTAACATGGTGCGATGGTTTGTGTGCTTCAACGACCCATTGAGCTATACTGTGTGGTGCTTTTTGCACCTTCAGAGTCACTCATACCAGATAGGTCGATGGTGGAAAGCCTGACAAATTCAATCTTCCGATCCTCCAGGCTGGGGGTTGGGGGAGCGTTGCTCCTTACTCCGTAAAACGAACTCTATAGCCCGATGCCCAAACCCGGATGCTTTGCTATTAAGGCTTTAGTTGAGAATCCTAATCGTTCTGCTGTCTAGGCCTGGGCGACCTGACAGGATCTTGCTCACGCATACGATGAATTTCTCTTCAAACAATTTATTCGTGCTCTGGCCGTCGCAGAAGATAGTTAACGGTACCCTATCTGCTGCATTGAAGGGTGCACTGAGGAGTTTAGGTGCTACCGCGCAAGCCTTCCTGTCTTCTTATTTCCCCTCTTACGCTTTTTCTCTCGTGTCGTCCAGTTCTGACTTTCTTTTTATCCCTCGCACTTTCAACCCCTTCAATTCTTGGTCTTCCCCAACCTTTTTTTGAGAAACGCTCATCTTCCAGTTCCAACTTCTAGCGGTGTCGGCTCGTAGCCTAGAGGTAACGAGCTTGTCTCGTAATCTTGCGCGCGGGTTCGAATCCGCGTAGGGTTGGGCGTCCTCGCGGTATACTGATTCCGCGTGCGACTGATGGTGGTCGCACGGCAGTGAAGCGCCGTTACGGCGTACAGCTGACACAACGCACTTAAACCCGCAGCGTCACTCCTGCCCTGTCGACAAGTCCATGCTCAACAAAGCGGACAAGCCTAGTTCATCTGCTTTTATTTGGAGTCCCCGGTCCTCATCCAAATTGACGTGTCTCGACGTACGCATATTGTTACAACTCGGTCAATAAGCAGCACTTGCCCGAGCATTTACGATCAATCAATAAACAACAACAGCATTACATCAGCCACTTGAACTGACGCTTCAATGCCATACAGCCATGATGACTATGGAATAAAGAATAATAAAAGAGAGAGAAGGACGACTTACCGGAAAACCCTAATCCCCTAAGCAAATCTTCATGGTGAAGACGCCTTCACCATGTGTAGACAACATATCGTCACAAACAGCTGTCGTGCAAAGATAAGGCGGCATCAGCGAGACAACTTCCTTGCGGCTTTCACTGCCCCGCGTCATAATCAGCCATTACTTGGCAGATAAGTCAACACTAAACACACTTTAAAAAGGCAATCCGACTAGAAGACGTTAGCAGACATTCCTCCATCATACACGCTAGCTGCAGTTGGAAAAGACAACTATGGTGCCGCAATACAAAAGAAAAGAACAAAGAGAAACAGAGGCATGCCGATTGAATCACCAGTAACGGATGGACATCTTT